TTTTTTTTGTATTGGGGCATTGTGGGATGGGAACAGCGCTGGGGGATTGGGGAGAGGGGAACAGACAAGTTGCTGTCCTTTTGTTGGCAGTCTAGTTGTGGAGGAACTCGCTTCACTGGCTCAATTTGGCGACATCATTGCGCTCTTCCCGGGCGAGTCCGATCAGTCACCTGCTTCTGGATGGCCGCTTAAGGGGGCTGCTGGCCACTCACACTGGCTGCGGTCTACACACGGTAGCCCATGGCAACCCACTACAGCAGGTGCTACAGCCGGTGCTACAGCTTAAGCCATAGCCGGCGACTCAAGGCATCCCAGCTCCAGGTTGAGCTGTTGTTCAGCAGTTTAGCAAAGAGAGGGAACCCATAGTGAGGTGAACACTCACAAAGATGGGGGAAGGGCGGAAAACGTGAAGAAATACAGAGGGAGGAGAGGGAGTCCCTAAATGGAGGTAGAGGTAGGGACACGTAGGCATTATTGCCCAGGGGCGCCGGGCGGTATGGTTTAGGACTAAGTGCTTGGCCACAGGGGAACTGGCTGAGGCTCTGGGAGAGGGGAGCAGGGTGAGAGGGAGATTAGAGGCCACTGGGGAACCGGGAATCTAGGGAGTGAAGAGGGAGGAGGGGGGGAGGCGGAGGGAGCGAACGAAAGGAGGGAGCGGAGGCCCGGCGAGGATTCCGGGAAGGGAGGAAGTCTGAGCTGAGCGGGTAGCCTGTGATCTTTGAGAGGGTTAGGAAACTCCAGCCTGGGGGAAGGGTGGGTAAGCAGGGCGAGCTGGGTGTAGGGCACAAGGCTCTTAGGCAATCACGTTCAATAAAATGAGCAAAGCACATGACTGATGAAAGCTCTTGAAGAAATAGTTTCAATTAATGGATAGTTTCACTTTCTGATGATACATCAATACATCATTTTAGTTCTGATTCATCCAGGAAGACAAAATGTTGTTCATTCCGAGATGATAATCATTTTCCATGTGCATTTATAGTGTTTATCTTAAACTATAGTTTCACAGCTTGGTACATCAGGATTCGACTTAAAGAAATCAGTGATCTTTTTCACACGTTTAATACAATGGTTTATAATAACAGTTTCAGTCGTTCTCCTTACAATCTTAAGAACATACGTAATTGCAAACTCACATACCTGTTTTATGAATGTCTTTAAGTTTAGATACATGATTAATTTCTCTGGTAAAAATAGCATGATTTTATCCATGAGAAATGTCACCATGATACGGACAAGAATTTCGTTGAGCATCCACGTTATAAATGAAGTTATTGTATCTTTGGAAAACATAATAAATAGGTAGTTCAGTCTCGGCTACGACTTCAGACCTGGTGACACTTGATCTGTGCCTGGGTCTTAATATATAAAGTTGACTGAAGAGTAATACAGAGAGGCCAATGTCATTAAAAAAAACAAAATCCAAAAACGTTTTAAGTACTCACAGTTCCACTTGAAAGGAGAGGCACTGTACACTTGTAAGGATGCGGGAAGACTGCCAACGTGGGTAAGAGTGTAACTGGAATCGGGGGTTCTAAGCCAGAGCCTTTATTGTGTAATGTCCAAGTCCTCAGCAAGAAAAAGAGGATCTGCCCATGGAGAAGCTGAAGCCAGCTTAATCACATTCGTGATTAAATGTCTTGAGGGAGTGTTTGAATGAGTCATTTGGTGATTGAATGTGCTGCTCTGTTGCAAATTCCTGGAAACCAAGATTCTGGTAGGAAATAACATTTAGTAAGGTTTCAGATTAATAAAAATGTGTTTGGGGCTGGCGGAGTGGCGCGATGGTTAAGAACTGGCTTGGGACGCCAGAGTGCCCTGGTATGGATCCTACATATGAGGGCCAGTGACACTGCCCTCCACAGCTAAGATGCTGAATAGCAGCTTGACCTGGAGCTGGGCTGCCATGAGTTGCCTGAGACAGCAAGGCTGCAGCCCCTGTGGCAGTGGGTTGCCATGGGCTACCGTATGTAGCCAGCAGCCAGCGTGAGTGGCCAGCACCCGCAATGAGCGGCCGTCCAGAAGCTGGCGACTGATCTGCCTCGCCCGGGAAGAGTGCAATGATGGTGCCAACTTGGACCAGTGAAGCAATGTCCTCCACAACTAGACTGAAGAACAAAAACAACAGCAACTCGTCTGTTTCCCTTCCCCTAATTCCCCAGCACTGTTCCCATCCCCCAATCCCCCCATAAAAATCTTAATTAAAAAAACATGTGTTGGGCCAGCCGAGTGGCGCGATGGTTAAGAGCTGGCTTGGGACGCCAGAGGACCCCGGTTTGGATCCCACATGTGAGGGCCAGTGACACTACCCTCCACAGCTAGGATGCTGAGCAACAGCTCAACCTGGAGCTGGGGTGCCATGAGTCGCTGGCGATGGCGTGGGCTGCAGCCCCTGTGGCAGTGGGTTGCCATGGGCTATCGTGTGTGGTCAACGGCCAGCGTGAGCAGCCAGCAGCCGTGGTGAGCGGCCATCCAGAGGCTGGCGACTGATCTGCCTCTCCTGGGAAGAGCGTAATGATGGTGCCAGCTTGGGCCAGTGAAGCAACGTCCTCCTCAACTAGACTGAAGAACAAAACGACAACAACTTGTCTGTTCCCCTTCCCCCAATTCCCCAGCACTGTTCCCATCACCCCAATTCCCCAAGGAAAATCTTAAAAAAAAAATGTGTTTGGATTACATCATTTGATTTTGGTGATATAATGGTTTTCCTCTATTTGGGCATATGCCAGTGGGTGGATCACGTGGTAACTCTGTTTAACAGTTTGAGGAACTGCCAGAACATTTTCCAAAGCAGCTCATACAGGAGTGTATGAGGATTTGTATTATCTGTCCATGATGCTAGCCGATTCAGAGGGTGTGCCATGGTGTCTCATTGAACTTGGTATTAGCATTTTAGTTATGATAATGACATAGAACATCTTTTCATGTGCTTGTTTGTCATTTGGGGCATCTATCTAGTCGTATCCCTTGCAGAGTTTTAAACTAAGATGTTGTGGTATTTTTATTATTAACTCTGACTTTTAAGTTTGGCGGTTGGTTAGTGTTATCTGCAATGGGGAAAGATTAGGGGATGGTTTTGCTAGCCACTTTTTCATTATATATATATATGTATACACACACACACACACACACACACACATATTGAATGTGTTTAATTTATTCTTTTAATAGTAAAATCATCTCAGAGATTTTGCCAGGGATTTATTGGCGCAAAATACCTGCCGAATAATTATAATAACAGAGCCCAAAATGTGAAATTTTCAAAAGAAAGAGAACCTTCCGATTCGGGGAGTTCAAGTATGCAGGGCTTACATTCCTGTAGGTCTCTTATGAATTGAGTTGATGTGGAATGCACACGGAGGACGAACACATCCATTTGCCCTTGCTTCATGGGCTGGCGATCTGTGCAGTCACACGGTCACTTAGAAGGGCCTGGGCTACATTTCATTGCACTCTTCCTGGGCGAGTGAATTTCATGATGCTTACATCATCTTGAAATTCTTAGTGAGTTTTGAACAAGGAGCCATGCATTCTCACTTCACATGTCTTCCTGCCTGCAATATATGTAGCTGGTTCTCGCCCTGCTATTGACCATGGGTCTAACGGCTGGCTCCCTTTGACAAAGAAAAGATATGACGCCATAGTAGCTGCAATATGTTCTTTAGCCACGAGAGGGCGGCACCACCCAGGGTAACCCGGAGGCCTGTGCGCGCAGTCAGGTGACAGCAGGGGACTGTAACTGTCCTCCCCAAAGCCCCAGCTCACAGCAGGGATGCTGTTCTCCAGCACTGATGTACCTCAGAGATGCAAATGTTTGACTACAATCTAAGGGGGTAGGAGCAAAGCACCGCTAGTTGGCTCAAATGTGAACAGCACCAAATACACATCAAGTCCGCAGGAAATACTGATTTAGGAAAATACTTTTATAGAAAGACGGGATGGGAAGGATGTGTGTGTGTGTGTGTGTGTGTGTGTGTGTGTGTGTGTGTGTGTGAGTGATGAGAAAAAAGCAGCTGAGTCTTCATTTCTAAAGAAGGAAGGCCTCAGTCAATACCTAATGGGAAAAAATCAGTAATTAGCCTCAAATCATGTTCTTCTGAGATGATTTGGTTCCAAGCTGCTGCTGCTGCTGTTTGGGGGCAGATGTCATCAACGTGGCCAAAACAGAGAAGCCAGGGCTCTCCTGTGATCACTCTGGACAGCACACACAGAAACGTTGCCTTTGTCTTGGCCAGGCTCAGTGTTGTCACGAATACAAGACAGACAACATGCAACGGGAGGGAGGCAGGAGCTGGTTTTACTCCTGTGTGAATATCAGGAGTGCAGTAATACTTGCACTGATCCAGCTGCAGTGGGCTGCACGAGAACAAGTTAAAATCTCTTTGGGGTTGTAGGTGATCCCCATCCAAACAAAATGCCTTCTCTGAGAAAGCCTTCCACACCTCACTCACATAATCCAAGAAGCCCAAACTTCGTGGGTCTTTTTGTCAGTATGACATCAGATGGGGACTTACTTGTTCTCTCTGCTTTTCTTTCTTTCTTTTTTTTTTTTTCAGAATCATGGAATTTAAACATCTTAACCTGATTTCGATGTGATATATGCACTTTCATGTGTATCACAGCGTTACTCGCAATAATGAAAGATATGAAAACAACCCAAATGCCCATCGACAGATGAATGCGTAAAAAAGATGTGGTACATGTGCACACAGGAATGTTATTCAGCCATAAGAAAGGAAGATCTCTCCCTGTGACCACGTGGATGGGCCTTGCGCGCATTATGCTACATGAGGTGAGTCAGAAAGAGAAAGACATGTGCTGTAAGATATCACTCATATGTAAAATCAAAAAAAGTTTAACCTGTAAAGCACAGTACAATAGTGGTTACCAGAGGGTCTGTGGGGGAAGGGATAAGCATGATGGTGTTTCAAAGTACAAACTTGTAATGAGTAGTAAACAAGCCACAGAAATGTAATGCGTATTACACTGAATATAGACAATAATATAGTTCTCTGATTATGTAATGTGAGAAATATCACTACATCGACAGGACAGTCGTATTACAATACATAAGTGTATCAAAGTAACACATTGTACCTCTTAAGCCTGTACAATGCTACACATCCAATTCATTCAATGAAATGATTTATAACCCTTGGTATAGATTGCTGCAATCCAGCCTATAAATGGCCTGCCTGTCTTTTTTAGAGAAGTATTACTTACTGAACGTAATTTTTATTTTTACTTTTATAGTTAGAAACCACACACAAGTTGCAGCTTCCAGAAAGATCTCCAATGGCTGCATTGGAGATATGGCTCGTAAAAGAGGGGGCGAAAAGCAGTTGCTACTTCCTGGATGAAGAATCTGAGAAATCAAGACACTGTGCTGACCTTGGGCCATGGACCTCTGCAGCCTCTTGGTAGCAACAGGCTTGGGAGCTGCCAGCTCCATGGCCCTGAGTGCCGGGAGGGGCACTCCCACGTCTCAGAGGAACCCCTTCCCTCTTCCAGACCTCACACTCGTGCATCTGCTGTCAGAGGTTCTAGGAACTGCTGTCTTCAGTTTCCCAGACTCTTGTGTGTTTTCCAAGGGGGTTGGAAGAGAATGAGCAAAGTCAACCTGAGGTATCCATCCTAGACGTTATTGGGCACCTCTACAATAACATGTCCACACACAAGGCCTTTGAACAAGGCCACTTCCTAATCCTCCCAGTATTCTTCTCAGTCAAGGTGAATTCCATCCTTCCAGATGCTCAGGTTTGAAAACTTGCCAGTATCCTACACGTCTCTGCTGCTCTCACACTACTCTCTAGGCCATCAGCAGCCACGCAGTCAGCCTGACTTATACACTCAGGCCCATTCTACCGTCACCCCTACATTGGGTAGTTGTAAGGGTCTCCTAACTGGTTTTCCTGCTGCCTCCTTGACCCACCTGAACTTATATCAGTCTCCCCACAGCAAGACCTCTGAAACCTCGGAAATAAATTCTTTAGAAACCCACGTCCGACCACCCCTTTTCTGCCCCAAGCCCACCTGTCACTCACACCTCAGTCACACTAAGATCCAGAGTCCTCACCACAGCTCCTCAGGCCCCACCTACTGCTGCTCACTGTGCTGATCTGCAGTAAGACAAGGAGTGTCCACCAGGAGGTCAGTGGCCTCAGGGCTTTGGTTGAGAAAGTTTTGCAATGAAGAACCAATCAGCTGAAATAAACAGGGTGCTGAGTGTTGCGGTTGACCTAGTTTCTGGCCCAAGCTCCTTAGCTTCCTGCAGATCACCCTGCGGGTAGCACTGCCCTAAACAATCTGGTCCCTGCCTACACTTCTCAGGTCATGCTACTCATCCCATTTATTCTGGCCACATTGACTTCTTGACTCTGAAACATGGCAAGCAAGCTCCCGCCCCAGGGCCTTTGCACAGGCTATTTCCGCTCCCTTGGAATAATCTTTCTCCAGAGACTTACATGATCCCTTCTTCTCTTCTTTTAGGTCTTGCTCAAAGTTCACCTCCTAAGGAAGGATTTCCCTGACCATCTTGTATAAAATAGAAAGCACCCCTAACCTACACACTCCCTAGCCCCTTCACTCCACTTGAGTATCCTTTAGAGGACTTACCCCCTCCTGAAACACGGCTTGTTTAGTTTTGATTGCCTCTCCCTCTTCACTAGAATATCATCTCCTTGAGGCCAATGACTCTTAGGTTCATTTTGTGTCCCTTACAACCACTAGAAGCCTTGCAGAGTGGGTGCTCATTGTCAAAACACGAACTAACTCACTTGCGAATGACTCCATGCTGAGAAGTGAGCACAGTCCCTTCCATCTCAATGTCTGTAAAATGGGAATAACCCCGCCCTGCCTACATGCAGGAATCATGTAAGGGTGGGCCTCCTTCCTGATACTCATTACTATGTAAGAGAACACCCCAAACTTAAAATTACTCCGTGTCTGAAATGATGAGAGACCTGAAAATGATAAACTCCAATCATGATGATAAACGATCAATTTTTCGCACAAGATCTTGGGTGGAGTTCTCTGGAGAAGGAACACTGGAGGTTCTTTGGGGGGACCGCCCTCCTGGCTTTTCATGCCCTTGTTCACTTCATCCCTGAGAGATCTGCACTGTTCTCACGCTGTTTACAGAGAGAAAACAGAGACTCACACTGTGTTGTCACTAAACGGAGCCACGTGATTCCGTGAGACTCTTCTTCTCTAACCTTATCTACACACACACACACACACATGCACATCCACGCACACGCACACACCTGCACTATGTGTATTAGACACATTGACTAGTGTCATTTCTTTTTACTGAACACTGTGTCTCTGAGATACATTCAAGTTGGCATGTAAGTTTTATTTTTCTCATTGTCATGATTACAAGAATTTTACACGTCCTCAGAATATGAAACATTTATTTAAGGCAGCATCATTGACTGTCTATGGGACATGATCTGCCTATTTTGAAAGGAAAAGGTCATTACACTTTTAAAATCATGTTACATTTTCAAAGGGCAATGTCTTGATGGTTAATAAGGAGACATGATTATTTCATTTTTCATAAGGACAAGTTCATTACGCTTAAAAAACTGGGGATCGCATTTTTAAATAAAGGTGATTATTTTTTCGTTTGAAAGCATGGTAGAAACTTATTGTAATAGATGACTTCATGAGTTATAAAGGGCAATAATGTCTTTTATCAAAATTAGGTCACTATACTTTTGCAAAAATATTACTCATATGAAAGATAACCAATTGTATGTTTAAAGTATGGTGATTATGAAACAAAGCCATTAGCGCTATTTTATAAGCTGGTTTACTTAGCCTGAGTCAATTCATATCATATACACATGAATTACATAGAATCAAGCTAACACCTGGGTAACCACCCAAGGCAGGAAGTAGTTCATTGCCAGCATTCAGGAGCATCTCTGTGTACAGTCCTGGCCCTAAACTCCTCCCTTGTACTTACAAGTGACAATTCTCCGAATTCATAGTCATTTCCATTATTTACCTCCCAGCTTTCCCAACTACACTAAATCCAGACATTGGGGTTTAAGGTTTGTCTTCTCAAACTTCCAATCATGTATATCATACTCCAAGTCCACCTGATCTTGAATCTTTTACTCTCCACTAAGTTGTA